GGAGCCACGAGAGAGATCAGAGAGGGGGGAGCAGAAGAGTGAGGGTTATGAGACAGAGACAAGTAAATAAGAAATTATGCCAGGGTGAATTCGGCTATGAGTGGCGACTAATTTTAAGGGTTATTTTCACTTCGGTACCATATTAGTCCCTTAATTGCCTATTAGTCCTCAAATCTCAGTGTCTGCTTATTTTAGTCCCTCAAGCCTTCATTTTTATTGTAACTAGTTTTTACACACGTGCAATGCACGTGATTTAATACCATGATTAAGTATTTTTTACAGTTTGTGCTCATTTTTTTCTTTAAACTCTTACATCCCGATTATTTTTTTATGTTTGTTTAAATGGGATACACCCAATTTAAATTTTCATGTTGATATTTGAATTGACAAAAAACAAATATAATTTAAAAATAATTTGAATTTTCATATTATTTTCGACCGATATGAAACTAAGCTTTATTTGAGAAAGTATAGCATTGCAAAGTAAAAAATATTAAAATAGTGTTATACAAGGAAGGTGAATATTTAAAACCAATATGGCAAAATGATTGATTTAAAGTATGTTAAAACGATACAAAAGAGAATATGAAGTTTATTCCTAATCATTGATAGACTTCATAAAAAAATATAAATTAAAGATTAATGCTAACTATAGTATACTTTTATATGATAAAAACATCCACATAGGAATATAAAAGTACTGAAAAAAATTCATGAAACTCCCTTCTAAAGATTCCTAATTTCACTCAAAATAATTAAACTATTCTATAAAATATTCATAAAATATTGTTTTTATTTCTTCTATTTTATTTTTTATTGAGTTAAGATCAATCCTTCTTCAGGTTTATCATTTATCATTTCTCGGACAATTCTAGAGTGTTGTCTTCATCATCTACATCAATTATGACATCAGACTAATTTTGTATTTTTTTTATGCTATTATCTTTCCTGGGCTCGTTAATTTTTTATCATCTCATTAACTTTACAAAGAAGTCAAATGTACTTATGATGTTCAACACAAACTGCTCAAAATATAGACTTTGATTTTTTTTTCTATTTCAATGAGAATATATATAAAATTATTTGTGTTCCTAATTTATTACTTAAATAAATTAGAAGCTATCTCTTTATTTTCCTCTAAAATGAATTCTTCTGATGTGCATCCAATAAGAATTTCTGTTATTTCAATAATATTACCTTTGCTCTATCCCTGTCATTTTCCATAAAGATCTAAACTAAATACCTGCATTATTCATTACCAATTTCTCTTAGATTATAATATTAATATTTAATTTGAAGAACACAGTATGGAATTTATGAATACTTACTAATTTTTCTTATGTCTTCCATGGAGATTTTTTCTTTGATTAGGATAAAGTTATTAAATTATTTTTTAATGTAACTCATTCAGTGCTTCATTAATAGATATGTCTTATGTTAATGCCAATTCAAGTGATTCATTGACGTTTTCTGAATTTTAGATTTATTTCCATCACTTTCCCATTTGCAATGGAAATAACTCAATTCTTTTAAAGTTATCTCTAAATATTCTAATAGTTTCTCCATATGTAATTCCTTGTATTCTTTTACCCTATAAATATTATTAACGTCAAAGATTAAAGTTTCTAAATTAAAATCAATTAATGCTAAGGTATAATATTATAGTGTTTTATCATTTCTATGGATTTAAACATCTATCAATTAATGTTATGAATGTATTTTGGCTACCCCAACTTATTACTAAAATTATATGAAATTACTTTAATTTATATAGTGCCGATAATTTTTAATCTATAATAATTTTAAAAATTTTATCCATTAACCGGATGTTTTTAATCAATTCTTATTGTGTTTGTTTACCAGTATCAACTTAGACTATTCTTAGATGCTGAAAATGGATAGTAAATCCCTAAATTAGAAATTTTAATATATATATATATATATATATATATTTATAATTTTTAAAATTTTGAAAGAGTTTTTAAAAAAATTTACTTTTAAGTTTGGTAGTTGTAAATTCTATGTTTCATGTGTTGGTGGTAATTTTTTAAATGTTAGTATATTTCTTGTAACTCTAAAATTTTGAGGGTGTCTTTTGTAATTATTAAAACTATAGATTAATTTTGAAAAATATTAAATTTCAGCGGTCTACCAATCGACGAATTTGATGTGTGCTAGTTAAAAATTTTGAAAATTTAGAGTTTTTTTTACGATTTTTAAATTTTGAAAGGAGTTTTTTAAAAATTTTGAGGTTAATTTTGGCAAATTTTAATTTTTTAGGTGTCTAAGGGTAATATCTTGAATTCATCTTATTTTATTTACAAATTTTAGAATTTTAGGGTGGCTTTTTATAATTTGAACTTTTGAATGTGTTTCTATAATTTTTGAGATATTAAGGGCGTTAATTAAAAATTTTAAATTTAAATGTCAAAAATTTTAGGTGTATCATGGTAATCTCTTGAATTCATCTGTGTTGTTTGTAAGTTTTAAAATTTTAGAATTTTAATGTGCTTGTCTGTAATTTAAACTTTTGAGGATGTTTCTATAATTTTTGAGACGTTGAGGTGTTAATTGTAAATTTTAAATTCTTTACAAACTGATGTTAATTTTTTAATTTCATGTTTTTTATTTTAAGTTTTGAGACATTTGGATGAGTTTTATAATTTTGAACTTTTCAGGATCTTTTCTGCAATTTTAAAACTTTTTATGGTTTTTTTGCAATACTTCATGTATTATAATATGTTATCTACTTGTAATTTCTTTATCTTAACAAACTAATATCATTTTTATGTTTTATATATTTTATTAATATTAGTTTTTTTAAATTGTTAAGCTAAATATGGTTCACATAGGATTAGGATAAGATATGATTATGATTAGGATAGATTAAGATATAAATAAAATATTCAAAATAGTGAAGGGTAATATTGACCATTGAAAATTAGAATTTGATTATAGATAAGATAGTTCAAACTATAAAGTGGTATATTTGTCTAAAAAAGATTTTCCGAACTCGTGCTTTTAAAGGGAGTATGATTTTTATCCCTAGGTTAGAACTCATGTTAATAGAAAATTTTAATGGACTATAGACAGGGTGTCAAAGCGAAGGTATCAGAGTTAAACGAGATCAAAACTTTAGTGTTTAAAAGGCTTACAAATTTTTTTTGGTGTACCAAAGTAGACAAATGTACGTGATCAAAGTGAAAATAAGCCTAATTTTAAGGACAAAATTTGAAAATCATCCGATTTACAAAGAAAATCGTAAAAAACAACATCTTCTAAAAAATAATTGTCAAAACCGACCTAGTTTCAGCCGTCGGGCTGAAAACTGGGTCGGTTTTGTCGAAAAAACTATGAAACTTTACGGGACTTGAAGTCCCGTGAAGTTTAGCAGCCTATAATGACGTTAATCTATTAACATTAGGCGGTGCTAAACTTCACGGGAGTTCGAGTCCCGTAACTTCCATAGTTTTTTTCATCAAAACCAACCCAGTTTCAGCCCGACGGCTGAAACTAGGTCGGTTCTACCAATTATTTTTAGAAGAGGTCGTTTTTTTTTGATTTTTTTTTAAATCGGATGGTTTTCAAAATTTCTCCAATTTTAAAGGATAAATTTTCACAAAACTCCCTGAAACTATTTTCGTCTCCAAAACTCCCCTAAACTTTGGGCTCACATTACATCTGGGCTCTATCAAGCTCTAGCTAACGACAATGGTCACCGTCCCCACCCTAACCCCTTCCCCCCAAAACCTGCTCAAGCGCGAATGTCCACGCCCTCCTCCGCCTCCGCGGCTCCATTCGCCGCCATTTCTCAACCTCCCCATTCCTCGATCCTCTCGCCCCTCCGACCCTCTCCGCCGCTCCTCTTCTCCAAGCAAAAATCCCTCGCCGCCCTTTCCCTCCTCAAACAAATCCCCCGCGATTCCCTCCCCCTCCACCCGCGCTTGCCGGCGACCCCTGCCGCGTCCTATCCATCTGCTCCGCCGCCCCTCCCTCTCCCCCTCCTCCCACCTTCCTGGCACCGACCACCTCCCTCCTCGGCTCGCGTCTCCCGCCCTCGTCTGTCCGTCCCCCCTCCGTCCGCTCCCTCCTCTCCCCCCTCCTCTCCGCCGGCCCACGTGTCCCACTCCATTCGTCCTCTTCGGCCAAGCCCGCCTCCCGTCGACGATGCCGCCTCCGCCTTCCGCTCCCACCCCTCCACCCAAACCGCTGCAACTCCCTCCTCTTCGCCTCCATCCTCCCGCGACCACCCGCCGCCGCCAAGTTCTTCACCGACCTCGTTGAGCCCTACAACATCGTCCCAGACGTTGACACTTACAACACCCTCATCAAGTCGTTCGCCGAATCGGGCTCCACTCGCTCTGCCTACTCGATGATCGATGAAATGCGCAAGAGGAAAATCAAGCCCAATTCGACCACTTTTACTAATGCGATCTCGGGTTTCTATAGGGAGCAGAAGTTGGAGGACGTGGATAAGGTTTTGGTGTTGATGAAGGAGTATGGGTTAAACCCAGGTTCGAATTCAGTGTATAATGTGAGGATTGAGGGGCTGTGTAAGTTGAAGAGGACGAGGGAGGCGAAGGATTTGTATAGGGAGATGTTGTTGAAGGGGATGAAGCCGAATTGGGTGACATATAATCATTTGATTGTTGGGTTTTGTAAAGAGGGGATGTTGGAAGAGGCTAAAAGAGTGTATGAGGAGATGGGGAAGAAAAGGGTTGTGCCTGGAGAGGGTGGGTGTTATTTTAGCTTGATACATTATTTGTGTCAGGGTGGGGATTTTGAGGCTGCGCTGGGAGTTTTTAAGGATGCAATGAGGAAAAATTGGATGCCAGGGTTTAAGACAATGAAGATGCTAGTGAATGGACTGGTGAAGATTGGGAAAGTTGAGGAGGGTAAGGAGATTGTTGAGAAGATAAAGGAGAAGTTCCCGACCAAAGCTGAGATGTGGAAAGAGGTTGAAGAAAGCTTCCCCAAGCAGTAGCCTGTTGAGGTATATCTTGTTAGATTGCCCATTGAGTTTCCTTTTTCTTGGTTAGTTAGCTTGTGCTTTTATTTAAGTTACTTTGCAGTTGGTTTTCAATATTTTTCACTTGCCAATAATCCTGACTAAAGAAAGGAATGAATCATAAGAAATAAATAAGGTTGCTTTTGTCATAGAGCTTGCACATTGTGGTTATTTTAATTACATTGATTGTTAGAATTCCTCGTAGTTGGTAGGTTGACAGCTTAGCTACCATCATCCAAAAAGAATTAAGGATGGAAAGAAAAATACACAAATTATGTTATAGGTTAGAAAATGGGTTGAAATATCTGAAGTTTTCTATCAGAGAACGGATACAACATGAAAGGACGGCCTAAACTATTTTTACTTACCCATCTGCAGTACCGGAAACTGAAAACATCTCTATGGGCGCAAGAAAATCAATCGCGCGCTTGAATACCTATTCAACTACTCCATTGTTCTTTTCAACGTAGGATTCTTTTTTCCAGACATCTTGGGACTTCGCCTTGTGAACTCTATATATCTACACACTACATATATTTGCATAACTTGGTTAAGTCATTGTTACCATTCTAAAGAACATTTAAATTAACGTCATGCGGAAGGTAAAGTTCTGAGCTAGATCGTTTCCATATGTAGATTAAAAAAAATGTCAGGCCTTCTGGAGATCCATGACAACCAAGCCTCTATGATTGCTCATAATTTGATAGTTGTACTGATGGAAACTTGGTTCTATTGCTATCATACTGGAGATCTCAGGACAGTCAAGCCTCTATGCTTGCCCATAATTACTTGGTTCTATTGCTATCATATAGGGGATTAATTTTCTCGATGTCCTCAATATTTCTCAATACAGCCTTCAGATATTTTTTCCAATGCGCGACACATGAAAAGTAACCATCACTTCCCGATTTCGATGTACTTTAGAATATGAAAAATATTCAAAAGATAGAATGAGACATTATTATCCTTGTGGTCATGATTTCTTTTAACCTGCTTCACCTTCCTTCAAACTGGTGTGAAATTCATGGCATAGGAAACATCATACAATAAAAATGCTGGTTGGAAATCCTACCTTTGGCCTAGTCTGTTTATCAAGGAGCATCTAAGTCATAATTGTTAAAAGGGAAAAAGTGTCATACTTACATGTGTCCACTTGTTTGGACAGTCCTCCTTATCATAAATTTCAAAACTGTCTTGACTTCATCTACTTCTCTCCTCTAGAAGATCAGTAATACAAAAACCATAACGGAATTCATAGCAAGTGAATAGTGAATAGCTCAACATGTTCAAAATCCCTAAACTCTTAAGTAAATTCACTCGATATGACTCATATGAGTGCTACATGTTTTTGTTATAGATTCGTGGCTAGGGTACTATAAACAAATGAAGGGTTCCCATATAACTTGAAGTCTGCAAAGTAGAAAATCTTTAGTTATTCTGCTAAGGAGTTTATTTCCTGTGTAAACTAGGACTAATCTTCACCAAGGAGCAACCTCCAAAAATTCTCCTCAGCTATAGAAGGGGTGGAGATGATGGTTTTGCTATAGAGAAACAACATAAACCAGTCATAAAAGAGTCATACAAGATATGGCTTATCACATTCTGGCAAAGCAATTTGCGGGAAGCTGTAGTCACTGTATGATGTATGCAAACGTCAAGTCTAATTCCATGAATTCTATGGAGTTAACAGAATTGCGTGGACCACTCCCTCGGTGTTCTTACCTTATATTCATTTATAGATGTTTCAGTTTTTATAATGGCATGGAGCCCGTAATGCTCACATCAAAAGAATGGAAAGCGTGGCTGCGTACATCCCCTGCCGAGCCCTTCCCCAAATCTGAGGATGGCTTGTAACCTTTTGCTTTGAAGTCTGGCCTGACGAACTCTTACACCAAAAAAATAAAGGTCACTTTTTATTATCTCGATGGGTTTTGAGATCTTCACAATAGATGTTCACATTTAGACTCTATTATTACATATATTTTCATAGGAGTTTAACCTGAAAGAGTCTATGCTAGTTCACGGAGAGTACCAACATGGCAGTAGTGCCAATCTCGTTCTGCAGTAGAGCTCTTGGAAGGAGGAGGAACATTCAGCTGTAGAGAAAGCAGAGGTTTCGAGATTATCAACTTCAATAAAGGAGTTCTCAACATCCCTTATATTGAAAGATATGATGCATATGAATCTACACTTCAACTTATGAAAACTTCTGCTATATTAGTGCTCTCTGTGAATTGTCTTCCTATAAATGTCATGTATGTGGAGGTTTGTAGGGTCTTAGATGATGCCAAATTTCTCCACTTCATCGTTCAGAAGAAAGAATGGCAGGACGATATAATGCATGTCTTCGATGTGTTTATATCAAACAATCATTTGATTTGCTTCCTTGGTATGATAGAGCACTTTGCCAAAGATGGCAAACAATGGAGTATAAAAGATCAATCTTACTCCTGTGGAATATATAAGCAGTTGGGTTTCATGAGTGCAGGGGGTGTTTATTCGCATGATAAATAAATCTGGAGGTGTGAAAGTGGTACACTTTCAACACTTTAGGTGTTTGTTTTATTGAATGTAAAATGCAGTGGTTCATGTTAGTTTTAATGCATGTTTTATCTCCTAGGAAAATGTCCCAAAGTCATCATGAAAGTGAAAACTGGGGGACCACTCTTAATTGAAGTACACTTGAAACATCAAATGAGAATAGATCTTTGCATGATTTCAAACAAGTTATTTATGATTTTAAACAAATTGATAAATAACATCATCTTTACTTCTCTACTTTCAACAATAATTTGTTGTTGCAAGCAAACACTGTTTTGTACTTAGCATGTTGATGTTGATGCACTTTCACACTTGCAAAAAAAGGTTAACTTTCACATGCTCAATTCACTTTCAGTTTGCAAATACCCCTGAAGTTGCAATGTTGCGATTTTGTATTTAAGAATGAGGACTCTGGTTCACTTTTAAGTTGATAAATTGTCAGCCATATATGTTTGTAAATTGTAGTATGCTTGCATGCATGTAGGAGAAGGAATGGGCTTTTTTGGCATGAGGATTAGCAAAACAAGAGGTCTCACCTGGAAAAGCTCCTGGAGCAATGAACATCAAGATGTTATTTAGAATATTCCCAGCCTCTTTTGCACTTCTCTATAAGGTTCCAAGTATGATATTTTCTTATTTAAACTTCCAAGTACCAATACATAATAGTGCTGTGAGCCTGAACTTTATGCACTTTTTAACAAATATAATTACTGAGAATGGATTAGATGTAAAGGCCCTTGTCTTTGATGAAGAGCACCTGGCTGTAGCATCATTCTCAGTTCTAGGTGATCCAGTTCATATTTTTGAATCAGAGTGGAACCCAGCAAAATCAGTGTGTCAAGCGCTGAGTTGCATGTCACTATCCTATATGGGATGATTTCACCCTTTTAAGCTGATAATGATTTTCTTTTTAGCTTGTTGGATGAGTTACCTTGGAACTTCATTCCCTCTCTTTTTCTTTAATGTTGTATTCACTTGTTCATATCACTCTTCTACCTGTCAACACATTTTCAAATTAATTTATTGAACTATTCCAGTTTCCCCTTTTCCTTATTTGGTATAAGATTCTCTAATTTCTTTCATCTAATTGAATATAGTAGAACTAGTAGTTAACTATTTTACTGATGGCAATGGACTCATCACTTCTACAGCTTACTAGTTAATAAATATCGATGTCTTTGTTCATAGAAAATATTTCATTTTTTTAATACAATGATACATATAGACATCCTTTGCCCTTGTACTCTTGTTCTGGTATGAATTAAGATGTCAATTTGATATTCCTTAACCTGAATTTCCCTAGTGTATTCTTTCAAAAGTTTTGAAGAACCTGCTATTATTGAACCAAACTCTGAAAGTTTGCTTCTAGGTATACAATTCGAAGAATATCTAACTTGTTCCACTGAACTTACAAATTGTGATTTCAGGTTTCGATGAAGACTGACACTAGCAATTTAATCCAGCTTAGAGGCCTGTGAGATCATTTATTTCGAGGGTACTTTCTGGCAAGAGATTAATAGCGAACTTTCAATCTTGAAGAGGGTTTTAATTAAGCTGACATCAGTTTAAGCTTCACTGAAAATTGTTGTTGAAGGGCTCTGATGATTTTTGTGGTTTTAAAAATTACTTTCTGACGAGCTGTGAAGCTATCAGATTAAATAATTTTCCAAACTCGGTGTTCTTTAAATGTTAGATTACGTTGAGTTTATGGCAAGGGTGATTTCTTGGGTTAAAAAGGGTAAATGTAGCTTAAATGATATTCTGATGTTTGCACTTTACACGAGAGGGTCTCTATGAGCATCGAGTAGGTGATTAATTGGCATTGACAATTCTGATTTCGGCAATTAAGATTAGAATTTTTCATATAGGATTCTTTCTATAGGATATTGAGTTGAGAAGGAAGGATATTGACAAATAATGATTTCGTAAATCTTTTAAAAAAAGTAATCGCATTTTGATTATTTTCTCTGCTTTTGCATTGTGTTTTTACTAGTTCTTATAATAATCAAATTAATTAGATTAGCACCTCTTGTTTTTATCCATAATTCATAAAATAAGAAGTACGAGATTATGCAGTGTTTATTATTTCCTGGAATTCTAACTAACAAAGTTACACATTACGTGTCTTTGATGATTTTTGAACTCAAAAAAATAAATCGCTTGTTATATTTTTTTACACTTTAACACCCTAAATAATTTGGCACTCCAAACACTCTAAAAAATTAAAGGGCTTTTTGTCTTTAGGTCCAATAGTTTACCTCCCTTTATTTTTAAACCCAAGTAGTATTAGTTGTATCTCTAAGTCCAAATTTTTTTTTGTATTTGTCTTTAAATCCAAATCCAAAATACAATACTTTCAGCAGTGGGTCCCCCCATATATTTTTCTTAAATTCCGGTTATACCCTCCCACTTATAGAATTCATTTAAGTGGGTCCCCCTTAAATAAAATAAACGAAATGGAGAGAGAGGGGGGAAACTGGCGGTAAATTCCCCCCCTCCATTCTCTCTCCGTCCTCTCTCTGCCCCCCTCTTCTTCTCCCTTTCTCTCACTCCATTAATAGAACTCAACACTCTCTCCTATAACCCATCATTTAATCACTCTCTCCTACAACCCATCAATTAATTACTCTCTCCTACAACCCATCAATTAATTCTCACCAACTTTCTTAGCATTTGAAGGTAGAAATTTACAATTTACTCAACTACCAAGTTGTTAGCATTAATTTCTCATTTTAACCATGACAATTATTTGATAAGTTAGTTAAATGAGTTCATAAAAAAAATTTAATTCGTTATTTTTAGTAAAATGTTAGATAACTGAGGTTTTGTAATTAACCACCCATTAATTTCACATTAGTTATTTCACATAATTATTTTGCACTTCTTATTTCACATTATTATTTCACATAATTAGTTATTTCACATAATGTTATTTCACATAATTATTTTTAGTAAAATGTTATTGTTATGAATTCATAACAATTAGTTAAATATTAGTTAAATTTGTTATAATTGATGAAATTTTTGTTAAATTTGATCTTAGTATAGAATGATAACATGTAAGTATAGCATGAATTACCAGACTTATAAGTATAGCATATTAATATAAGTAGAGCATGTTATACTGTAAGTATAGCACATTAATACTGTAAGTATAGCACATTATACTGTAAGTATAGCACATTAACCTGTAAGTATAACATGTTATATTGTAAGTATAGCACGTTATCATGTAAGTATAGCATGTTATATTGTAAGTATAACACGTTATCATGAAAGTATAACACGTTATCATGTAAGTATAGCACATTAACCTGTAAGTATAACATGTTATATTGTAAGTATAGCACGTTATCATGTAAGTATAGCATGTTATATTGTAAGTATAACACGTTATCATGAAAGTATAACACGTTATCATCTAAGTATAGCACGTTAACCTATAAGTATAACATGTTATTCAGTAAGTATAGCACGTTAACTTGTAAGTATAGCACGTTAGTTAGTAAGTATAACACGTTAACATGTAAGTATAACACATTATTCAGTAAGCATAGCACATTATCATGTAAGTATAGTACGTTATCCTATAAGTATAGCACGTTATTCAGGAAGTATAGCATGTTATCCTATAAGTATAGCACGCTATCAGGAAGTATAGCACGTTAACCTGTAAGTATAGCACCTTAACCAGTAAGTATAGCACGTATAATGTGCTATACTTACAGTATAACATGCTATACTAACAGTATAACGTGATATACTTTCAGATTAACATACTATACTTACAAGTCTTGTATTTCATGCTATACTTACATGTTATCATTCTACACTAAGATCAAATTTAACTAAAATATCATCAATCAATTATATACAAATTTAACTAACATTTAAATATAGGTTAACGTGCTATACTTTCAGGTTAACGTGTTATACTTTCATGTTAACGTGTTATACTTATAATATAACGTGCTATACTTTCAGGTTAACGTGCCATACTTACAATATAACGAGCTATACTTACAATATAACGTGCTATACTTTCAGGTTAACGTGCCATACTTACAATATAACGAGCTATACTTACAATATAACGTGCTATACTTTCAGGTTAACGTGTTATACTTACAATATAACGTGCTATACTTTCAGGTTAACGTGTTATACTTACAATATAACGTGCTATACTTTCAGGTTAACGTGTTATACTTACAATATAACGTGCTATACTTTCAGGTTAACGTGTTATACTTTCATGTTAACGTGTTATACTTATAATATAACGTGCTATACTTTCAGGTTAACGTGCCATACTTACAATATAACGTGCTATACTTACAGGTTAATGTGCTATACTTACATGATAACGTGTTATACTTTCATGATAACGTGTTATACTTACAATATAACATGCTATACTTACATGATAACGTGCTATACTTACAATATAACATGTTATACTTACAGGTTAATGTGCTATACTTACAGTATAATGTGCTATACTTACAGTATTAATGTGCTATACTTACAGTATAACATGCTCTACTTATATTAATATGCTATACTTATAAGTCTGGTAATTCATGCTATACTTACATGTTATCATTCTATACTAAGATCAAATTTAACAAAAATTTCATCAATTATAACAAATTTAACTAATATTTAACTAATTGTTATGAATTCATAACAATAACATTTTACTAAAAATAATTATGTGAAATAACATTATGTGAAATAACTAATTATGTGAAATAATAATGTGAAATAAGAAGTGCAAAATAATTATGTGAAATAACTAATGTGAAATTAATGGGTGGTTAATTACAAAACCTCAGTTATCTAACATTTTACTAAAAATAACGAATTAAAATTTTTTTATGAACTCATTTAACTAACTTATCAAATAATTGTCATGGTTAAAATGAGAAATTAATGCTAACAACTTGGTAGTTGAGTAAATTGCAAATTTCTACCTTCAAATGCCCAGAAAGTTGGTGAGAATTAATTGATGGGTTGTAGGAGAGAGTGATTAAATGATGGGTTATAGGAGAGAGTGTTGAGTTCTATTAATGGAGTGAGAGAAAGGGAGAAGAAGAGGGGGGCAGAGAGAGGACGGAGAGAGAATGGAGGGGGGAAATTTACCGCCAGTTTCCCCCCTCTCTCTCCATTTCGTTTATTTTATTTAAGGGGGACCCACTTAAATGAATTCTATAAGTGGGAGGGTATAACCGGAATTTAAGAAAAATATATGGGGGGACCCACTGCTGAAAGTATTGTATTTTGGATTTGGGTTTAAAGACAAATACAAAAAGAAATTTGGACTTAGAGATACAACTAATACTACTTGGGTTTAAAAATAAAGGGAGGTAAACTATTGGACCTAAAGACAAAAAGCCCTAATTTTTAATTTGTCGTAAACCCTTTGGATCTCGGAGCGTGTTGTACAAAATACATCTGTAACGTTTATAATCCCCACGAGATTCCCTATTATCTTTGTGATAATTTTTTTTGGAGATGCGTGGGGAATTTGGGAAGGCACGGGGGGTCTCCGGACCGATATTCGAGTTATATCGCTAACTCTCATCTAGGAGGAAACTCCGTATGTGTGGGTCCTACCTTCTATTCCCATTTTTTTTTCAGGTTAAGCAGATGGGATCGAACCAATGATCTGGTGATAAATGCCGATATTAACGGATGAGCGCAAGAACACCCCGCAATCCATACTACTGCAAGTTTAAATGTTTGCAACATCAATATAACACTCTTGGCCCGCAATATATACTCTCTATGTGAGTGTTAGCACATTAAAAAACAACATATGAATAAGTCGAATACACTAACCCACGTTGTTGCGGTACATCAACACTTTCTACCTCCTGACAAGAATTAATGTCTAAGTTCCAAGCATCGGGAATGGTAGAAATAAGCTTCACTCTAAACTCAATAGCATCGGACATATACCCGCGGAGGGAAGAATAATGATAAAATCTCCTATCCTTTACAGAGAATACCAACATATGCCAATGATATGAAGTTAGGAGTGGGAAAATAATCTTATCAAGTTCTTGGAAGCGACTTGACGTTATTGGCCTAAACATTCGATCCACACTTGACGGTTTATTTTCGTTGATGCATCTCTAAAAAAACAAAGAAAGTCAAGAGTAAGTATTTAATATAGCTTATGAATATTACTTACAATCTTGAATTGGATTTCTACTTACGGTTACCCAAGGACTACATATGTGTATGTCCTTCGCATAGGTTGCATGTGTCTCCATCAACCTATTCAGAAGCACAACATAGGCGGCTATAACCTGAAATGTAGATATGGCAGTCCAATGATGGGTTTTATTAGCTAATGCAAAAACAATGATTCATTCTAGTAACATCCTTGCATTGAAACTTAAGGTCATGATCGGCAATTTAGACATCATCATTCTATACAACTGCTTTAGCTTCTAGTGCTCTGTTGAGCCATTTGATCACAGAGAACAAAATCAATAGAATCTAAAGCATGAAGATCGTGAAAAACTGAAAGCGCCCGAGCACCTACCAGTTTCAGTTATATTCAGAAGAAGTGAAATCTACTCTTGCTGCTCAACCTCGTAGCTTTGAGCTACCTAGCATTAGCCCCTAATCTCTGGATTTATCTCTACGTGATAAGCATTGTACAGAGCAAAATATCAACAAACCTTAATCATGCCAACTGAATATAGGCAGTGATGACACGAAAGCGAAAAAGTACATGTTATTTGGGGTTCTAAGATAAGATTAG